GGAGATGGCTGCGAGGGGAAATAGGAATATATCCTCAAATATTAATTTTTAAATAAATAAAAATAGACTACTGAAGTACTGATGTGGTTGAGGCCAAAAGTGTAAACAGGTTGCCCATCAACTATTTAAATGTATAAGGGACGTGGCAAAACAAGGGAGAGGGTGCTGAAGGGAGAGTGTTGGAGCGAGTGCTCCTAGCACTCCTCTATTTAGTTTATTGAAAGCATTAGCTCATTCGGGCAATTGGGAAAGAGCCCTTTTATTCTTTGAATGGGTAGTGTTGAATTTAAAGTCTTCTAATGTCGAAATAGACAATCAGGTTGTTGAGCTAATGGTTAGAATTCTTGGGAGAGAATCACAGCATTCGATTGCATCCAAACTGCTCGATGTAATTCCGCTTAAGGATTATTCTCTTGATGTTCGAGCATATACTACCATTCTTCATGTGTATTCTCGTACTGGCAAGCACAAAAGAGCAATCTCTGTGTTTGAGAGAATGAAGGAGACAGGGTTGTCTCCTACTTTAGTCACTTATAATGTCATGCTTGATGTTTATGGGAAGATGGGTCGCTCTTGGGATAAAATTTTAGGCCTACTGGATGAAATGAGAAGCAATGGACTCAAATTTGATGAATTTACTTGCAGTACTGTGATCTGCTTGTGGGAGAGAGGGTCTGCTAAATGAAGCAAAGGGGTTCTTTGCGAAATTGAAGTCCCAAGGCTATGTACCTAGGACGGTTACCTATAATGCAATGCTCCAAGTTTTTGGTAAGGCAGGGATTTATTTAGAGGCCTTGAGCATTTTGAAAGAGATGGAGGATAATAACTGTCCTACCGACTCTGTAAGGTATAATGAGCTTGTGGCCGCTTATGTGAGAGTTGGGTTTTACAAGGAAGGAGCAGCCTTGATTGGGACAATGATGCACAAAGGAGTGATGCCGAATGCTGTTACGTATACAACTGTGATCAATGCCTATGGGAAAGCAGGAGAGGAGGAACAGGCTTTGAAATTGTTTGACAAGATGAAAGAGTCAAGATGTGTCCCTAACGTGTGCACTTACAATGCTGTGCTTGGGATGTTAGGGAAAAAGTCACGATCAGAGGAGATGATAAAGATACTTTGTGACATGAAATCAAGTGGATGTTCCCCTAACCGCATTACATGGAACACAATGCTTGCCATGTGTGGTAACACGGGAATGCACCAATATGTTAATCGAGTCTTTTAGGAAATGAAGAGTTGCGATTTCGAGCCTGATAGAGACACATTTAACACTTTGATTGGTGCTTATGGTCACTGTGGGTCAAAGATTAATGCTACAAAAATGTATGAGGAGATGATTGAAGTAGGTTTCGTGCCATGTGCCACAACTTACAATGCGCTTCTAAATGCTTTGGCTAGACGTGGTGACTGGAAAGTAGCAGAATCTGTTATTCTAGACATGAAAAATAAAGGCTTCAGACCTAATGAAACCTCGCACTCTTTGATGCTTCAGTGTTATGCAAAGGGAGGAAATGTAAAAGGGATAAAGATTGAGAAAGAAATATATGGTGGTTGTATCTTTCCGAGCTAGGTACTTTTAAGAACCCTTGTTCGTGCAAACTTCAAATGTGGAGCACTGGTGGGTATGGAGAGGGCATTTCAGGAATTGCTTAAGAGGGGTTATAAACCTGATTTGGTTTTGTTCAATTCAATGCTTTCCATTTTTGCCAAAAACAGCATGTAAGAGAAGGCCCATGAAACGTTTAAGTTGATTCACTTTAGTGGGCTGCAACCTGATCTTGTCACCTACAACAGCTTGATGGACATGTATGCCAGAGTGGGAGAATGTTGGAAAGCTGAGGAAATTCTCAAAGGGCTACAGACATCTGGTGGAAATCCAGACCTTGTGTCTTACAATACTGTCATTAAAGGATTTTGCAGGCAAAGGCATATGCAGGAGGCCTTAAGAATTCTATCTGAAATGACAACCAGAGGGATCCGACCATGTATTTTTACTTACAATACTTTTCTGGCAGGCTATGCAGCACAGGGGATGTTCAAAGAAATAGATGAAGTGATCAGCTACATGATTCAGCAAAACTGCAAACCAAATGATCTTACGTACAAGATTGTGGTGGATGGTTATTGTAAAGCAAGAAACTACAAAGAAGCCATGGACTTTGTAAAGCAAGAAACTACAAAGAAGCCATGGACTTTCTTTCAAAGATCAAGGAGATGGATAGCTTTTTTGATGACCAGTCGATACAAAGACTTGCTATCCGCATAAGAGAGAAACTAGAGTCATGAATTCTAAAGATTCCTATCATTTTCCTTGCTTCTTGAAGAAAATACCTGGGTCAATCTTGGTGGAATATTTGACCAACTGACTGGCTTGTTCATATTTTCTCCTCAATCAAGTTACCAATAGCCAGTTATGTATTTTATTTGACTACATTGGATTCTCTACTAGATTCAGAACTAAACAGATCAAGAGTTTCAGCCATTTGAATCTTTAACATTCAGATATCTTCAGAAGGAAACCAAAGACAGGCATCCATGGTCATTGGTAACTCTGCAGTTCACTTGCTGCTGCTGCTTGCCATTCTTCCTCCTATGCACCAGCCCTTAGCTCGACTGAGACTGAGATTGTTAGAAGCTTCAACCTTCTGATCACTTTGTCAAGTTTGGTTGAAATTTCATGCCTCGTTGTCCTGTAGCAAATATTCTTTTACCATTTTTTGCCACTGAATTTGTAAATCTGTTTAATTCCTTGTACCTTCCTTTGAGTTGAACAAAATTAAAGCTACAAAATATGTTTAAATAAGAGTAAATAGCATTCTTCGTCCTAACCTGTGGCTTGATTTTCCGTGTTCTCACTAACACTTTTTCATTTTGGAATCAATGCCCAAAAAGGGAAACAGCAATTTTGGATGTTTTCTTGTGGAAGCAGAGAATCATGCTCCTAAACGGATCACCAAAATAATTTTGGTTTCCTTCAATGCTCGAATACAAAGGTGTTTAGATATTAATGCTACTTGAAGAGAATTAGAACTGATGCTTTCTCTTCGAGAGGCACTAAATAAACATACTATAACACTGAGACTATACAAAAGGTGTTTGTTTTGTTATTTTACAAATAATTGTTATTTATTAGTTTTAATCAAACAAATAAGTCATTTTAAATTATAAATAATAATAATTATTAATCATTAAATATCAATAATTAATTATATTTAAATAATTAATCTAAACACTCGATAAATAGTAGTAGATTTGGAGACTCAAATAAATAAAATTTTTTATCCAAATTATAAAACTGAGAAGTCAATACCTCTTCACATGAATCACCCTCTCTATAAACATGTTTTTCCCTCTTTTTTTTTTTTTTGGTTTTTTTGGAACAAGTACAATTTCAAGTGGAGGGGCATGGGAATAAAACCCAGCCACGGGCTACAGTTGCACAACTGCACCAGTTTTGAGGCCTAGATGCCTCTCTCTAAGCATATTTTAAAGATCAAATATTCAAATCCCAGTTGATGTGCTTCTCTGTCCCCGTACAATCATTTCTTGCCCTACTAGTTGAGAGTATATTTTATTAAGCTTAGACATCCAATCAAGACACGATGCACCTGCACTATATATGACGGTCGATGCTCGATACTGCCGTGGTTTGAACTAGGAAACTGAACCCATACCTGAATCCATAAGTTAACCAGATTTTTAGGTGGTGAGTACTCATGGATTATGTACTACACGTGCCAATTAGCCAAATTTTTGGGCACATGTGTATTATTTACGTGTACTACAAGTACACAAGCTAATTAGCTCAAACATGGCGCACATGTATCATGTACAATTGTCCATCTCCCTTTTCTCTCCCCCTTGTAGTGTTAATTAGCCAGATTTTTAGGTACATGTATTATATTTGTGCTACAAGAACATGTGCAAATTAAATTAGCCCAACGAAGCACACATGTGCTGATTGGTAGGGATGACAACCGTAGGGACCCCTTCATCCTGCGGGAATTTGACCGGGGCAAAAACTTAATGCGCATTTTCCCTGTCATCACATTTATGGAGAATTCTCATCAAAATAAACTAAATGTTTTTACTTTAAATTTAAATTAATAAAGCTTGAATTTAAATTGATGGGTAGGTTTTTTTGTGAATTAGACATTTATTAGTTAAAAGAATAAATAATTAAATTAAAATATGATATAAAATTAATTTTATGAAATCATTGCACTACAAATTTAATAAAAAATAATAATAACATATTAAATTAAAGATTAATATAAAATTAAAATTTGACTATATTTCAACTGGTTTACTTTTAATTTCTTCTCATACATAAAAATACCAT